AGGAGGCTGGAGGCGTGGAGGGAGTTGCAGAAGCCATGGCAAAGCTAAAGGACAGGATCAGAAAAGAGAATAGCAAAAAACCAGGCATCCGTTTGAATTTGGGAAAAAGATAAGTGGCGTGCGGTGGGTAGGTCCTCAGAAGAGGAGAATCCCCATTGCCACTGCTCTCTGGCAACCCAGGCAGAGCAAGCCTCTATCTACCCAACTACACCCCACCTAAGACCCCATAGAGCAGGCGGCGTTCGAGTTCTCCGCAAGCTGTGCCAGAAAGATACCTACTGCACGACATTGATCAACAATGTAGCTTTACCGGCCGGGGAACTTCAGCGGCAACCGGACTCGAGACAGCAAGCCAAATGAACTTCGGTGTTAAATTTGGGCCACTCACATGCCGCCACGTCATAACCCCCAGGTACCAAAAGAGTGAAGGTGTCCGGAACGGTCGTACCAGGGGTCGAAAGCTGAAGTCGGAGCCGGTACGGACCCAAGTAGTCCCAACCCGATCACCGGGCACTCGGAAGCAATGCCAGTGTACCCTAAGTAGGTTACTTCGGGAGATTTTCTTCTCCTCCGAAAACTCAAGTACAATGTTGCAGCTTTTGCAGGTATGGCCTTACATACATATATATCGGCAATCTTGATCGGAGACGAAAAACTCTGTACTACTAATCTGTTATAATTCCTTCCCTGGAGAAGAAAAAAATTATAACGGATTGTAGTATGAGAGTTTGGAACCCTTCGGGAGCTTGCTAATATGTATGTATGTAAGGTCCCTTTGAAGGCAAAATGGGTGCGCGAGGTCGCCCCGCCTATACCAAGGTCGCCCCTTACCGTCCCCCTAAGTACCTATCGCCAGATTTACGGTGTGGAAAAGAGGTGGGACAACCCCCAAAAATGCCTTTTACACTGAACTGACGGTGGCGACCTCCGGCATAATCTGGCAAAATTGGCCAGATGATACCATTAAACGTTACCGAAACTTAACCGGATGTTACGGCAGCATACGACGAAGGCTGGCCGCATTATCCGCAACAAAGTTGCACTTTACGGGGGGGTGCAGACCGGTGCGTCACTGTGCGGTGCGGTGCGGTGCATAGCGGTGCCACGTGCACCAGTCTGCACCAGTCTGCACCAGTCTGCACCAGTCTGCACGGATCACCAGGGAAGAGATTATAGCAGAAACAAATGAACATTTTAGATGGTGAGTGTAAGTATATGGCGTGATATGGACATGACAATCTCCTGTCCAACCCGTTCCTTCTGTCCCTCTGTCGACTCATGCAATGAATAACAAGGTTTTACAAATATTGGGTGGTATAGGTAAGGATAAGCCGGGACCGGGACACAAGGCTCCCGTCTGCCGTCGACTCACGCAAGCAATTACTAAGTTCACATATATTGGGTGGTATGTGTAAGGATAAGCCGGGACCCGGACAGAAGGATCTCCTGTCCTCCTGTCGACTCGCACCGTTCATACAATAATAATATAGTAATCATTGTAACAATTGTTATATTCGAGCATTCTACATGATATGGGTCAGATTGAGCCCGAGTCCTCCTGTCGCCCTTCTCCTGAATCACGGTGTTAGCCTGAAGGCGGAGGCA